ATGTATATGCATGATCTTTTTGTATATGTATATGCATGATCTTTTTGGATGTGTCTCCCATATATATATATATATATACTGTATACATATATATATATATTATATGATGTGTACATTCTAGCCTACTATACTACACAGATACAGACAATACTTTTTGTCAACATCAACAGATGGTGACTGAGTGAGTCAGTTTGCCAGTCATGTTTTTTTCACATCTAGAACAAGAATGGGAAGAAGCTCCATACAACGCGCATTAAAAAGGCAAAGTCACCTGCCTGCGCAAACAATACAATTTTAGTCGCATGTTTTCCTTTCGCATGTATTCATTTGGGCATTTGGGATCGGTTCGGATGGTTGCAGGTTCCTGATGACCCACGTTTTGGGTGTCTTAAATCCTCAACAGAGTGGACAATGCAGCGAGTCTGTTTGGGCAAATGAGCAGACTCCAGACAAAAGGGGATTCCCAAGCGTGAAGTTCAGCTTGTTTGTACCACGGGATCACGGGATGTTTGATGTTCTAGACCTGAAATAGAGCACACCGCCAAAGAGAATCATGGTTAGTAGCTCGGAGATTTCCTTCTAGACTCCAGATGATGTCAGTCCATCATGGTGCAAGTGCTCGAAAGGTCTTTTCATTTGCTTCATCCCGCTGCCAACCTATGTCAGATATCTATTGGCTTATAGTTTATCTGTAGAGATGCCCAGACAGAGTAGTCACTCCCCCTCATTCACAGTTCATTCACCTGTTCATTCACAGTGGCAGGACCACTTGGTTATGTCTTTGCAGTAGTTTCCGGCAGTTTCAGAGCAACTTCCAGGAGCCGTTCGCTTCGTGTCCACGTCGAGACGGTGAGACCCCCGGGTGTGCCGAGACGGAACAGACGGTCGGGTGGACGTATGGCAAATTGGACCGATCAGTGGGTGGTTGAAACTCAAGAGGTCAATGTGTATATATATATATATATATATGTGACATGTGTGTCAATGTGTGTGTTGTATACATAACGTAGACTCTTGATGACAAACCCCCGCAATTTGAATTGAACATCCTCTTCATATGGGGGGTTTATTAATCAAGAGTCTTCATTATTATATTCCAGTTTTATAGGTGCTTTGGGTCTGAAAATCATCGTCCCTTCAAAGAAGTATGCTGTTTTATGGTGGAAAGGCTCGAATAGGATCTCTTTAGACCTATTTGCGGGTTTTATCCACGGGTTTGCTCCACCAAGAGTAGTTTGGTGTGGTTTCTCTAGATGTTTCATGCCAGTTTGGGTTGTAATCTGCAGTAGGCTATTTTACCCACAGCAACTGGAACTGCGCAGCATTGTGCAGTTCCAGGACCTGTTTGGAATCCCGACCACACTGATCTTCAAGAACATGCTTCATGTCACACTCTGAAGCTACAGAAACATGCGAACATATGGGAACCCTTTCCGGCCTGGTCTCCACTTCTTTCCGGCTTTGAGACTGAAATCAGATGGACGTAACGAGGAGTGGCAGAAGACCGAGCTGCGTGTCACGCGCTTTTTCGAGAGAATGCTTTGCAAAGTGCTGCGTTCCAGCGCTCAGGCACGGAAGAGTATCGTATAGCCTTTGTTTTCTGCTAAGTTTGCTCATCCTGGAAATCCAAGAGTTGGATCCTGTTTTGGGTGAACTTTCCCATGGCTCCCTAGGTATTCAAAATCAATACCGTTTTTGTCATGCCATGGGAATGATTTGAGATTTGGGGGGCACCAATGCCACACGTGTTTAGTCGACAGCTATGTTGAAGACACATGCGGCACATCATCCACTTAACACATTGCGAGACAATGTGTTTGAGTCAAGAATCAGCAGTCCAGATGCAACTTGGTCCTCTTTCATGTGCATTGAAACTAAGTACGTATTAACTATTTGCTGTACAAATATGGGCTCATGCTGATCCAGTTTGTGTCACTATATGTGCAGGTGATGTTGGTTGCTCTATTCTTGCGCATGCTGGTCATTGAATGGCACTTCTGGATGAGAACTTCTCATAACCTTCAACCTTCAATGGACCTGGCAAATGTCATTGTGACATGGCCTCCGAGAAGTCCAAATCATCGTCCAGTCATATTGAGCACACCATGCAACAACGGTGGGCCACGGACATCATGACCTACATTGATCGGCTGATAGAGCATGTAGATGACATGACCAGCCGGTGGTGGTGTTTCTGTGTTGTTTGAGTTTTGTTGGCTTTGTGTGAAGTGTGGGTTTAAAGTTCAATCCTCCTTAAGCCTCAAACATTGGGTCACTCCTTGCATATCCTTCCCAGGGTGAATCTCTGTAGATCGTCGATATTCGAGAACCCCCGAGAACCCCTGCAACTAGGCGTGAAAACTATGCCCCCACATGTCCGGACCGAAAGCATGACACCTTCGATTTGATTGAAGGGGATCGAGTTCCAAGATGATCCGCCACAACGTTGATAATCCTCGGCCTTGAAAACCAGAGATTGCAATTTTGGCCAGATGATGCCAGATGCTTCAGAAACCTCGAGCTCGCCATGGCATTTTGATCGTGAACAAATCGTGAAACATCTTTTTGACCCAATTGACCAGATGTATCCGACCAATTGGATTGAAGAAGGGCTTTAAATCGTGAAATGTATTGAAATGTAGCTATTTCATGCTAGTTCTGTCTCATGGTCCCATGAGGTGTAGTTATACATGTTACCGTTCCTCACGAAAGGTCCGCTGGCTCGCTTCGAGACGTCTCGAGGCCTATGCGGTGGTACTGGTTCTTTGCTCCTGGCAGCAGCTGGTGACTCCAGGGTGCGGAGTTGAACAGTGTTCTTCAGGGCAGAATGAGCAAGGATGTATTTTTCTCTGCAGCTGTACGCCCTTGTTCTAGGCGTCCTTTCTTGTTCTAGGTTTTTTGTTTGCAAAGCCCTTGCACCTAGGCGAAGCCATGCTTTTGCTGTCGCTGTGCTCAGTCATGCTATACATATATATGATTGTAATATGTGTGTGCTGCACCTCGTTACACCTCGTTACAACATTGTGTTGAATGCCTAGGGATCCTTTCTCCACGCGTGTGATTTTTGCATTACCCTGGCAGACAGGTCTTTGGATCTTTGGTACCTACTCCTCCAAACTCTTTGCACCATCCCACTGCTCTCCACGAGTGTTGCCGACACAATCATCGTGCAGCCTGGCAGCTTCAAAAGGAATTCCCATGCATTGTGAGTCGGGATTCACGTGTCTTTGGGTTTTAGGGTTAAACTGAGTTGCAACTCGGTTTAGGTTGATGGTTACTTAAGAATCCACGATGTTTCATCATCAACTTCCTGCTGCAGCGCGGTTGACAGAACGTCCCTCAAACAGAAAAACTCTTGGTGCTTTGGAACTTGTGCTTTGTAGCGGCTGCTTTCCATGCTTTTGAGAGGCATGCAGTATATACTATACTGAACCATTCCATTTGAGCTAGCAAACGCTGGTTCTTACGGAAAGCCGACCACCTAAGCACCCTTTGACTCACATTTCATGGAAGTGGAGTTCACCACCTGCTTGGTCTTCGGAAAGTAGCCTTCCAAATGATTTTCCACTTCCATGTGATTTGTTCCTCGCATCCGATTCCACAACGCCACAAACGCGTCAAGTTGCCCCACTGAGCCGCTGGGCGGCTTCCCTGGCGCCACACAGCTTGGTGCCAGAGAGTCGGGCAGAGTAGATATGAAGATGATATATGTGTGTGTTTATGTATAGTATATATAGTACATTATAATATGTACTACTCTATGATCTACATGTACTAATCACCAAGTCCCCAATTGGCAAAGAGATGTTCATTGTTCTGTTCTAGATTCTAAGTAAAGGTCACACCAACGAAACATAGATGTTCTTCAGGTCGTAGGGACCACTCGGGACCACTCGGGACCACTCGACACGGAACGCGTTCCTTCCGTGTCAGGTCTTTGGCCACGTTGCTTCCGCGTTTCTTGCTCGGCCTATGTGCTGCCTGACTCTTCAGACGAGACTGGACCCGAGACGTACGTCAGACGGGCCTTCAGACGTCGACGCGTGCCAGACGGGCAGACGGGCTTTGTTCGGCAAAACAGGGAGAATTTCTCGAGAAAGGTCACCCCCGGTCACCCGAAATCTGTCCGAAAGGACAGGGATGATCGACCGCTCCAGAGAACCAGGAGACCCAGGACGTGTGTGTGTGTGTGTGTTTTTGAATAGGGAGACACCCAAGATCACCCAAGCAATGCGGTTCATTTTCCTTTCTTCATTTTCTTCCAGGTGGAGGTCTTCCTATGTTGAAACACACTGCATATATATATATATATATTTATATGGTATTGCCAGGTGTTGATCAAAGCTGGAAGGGTCCTGCGAAGTCATCGGTGAAGCCAGTTTCCCGAAAAACTCGTGAGCCTACTATTGAGTAATGTAAACAGATGTAACAGTTGATAAAAAAGACCCCCAACATGGAGTGTAAACCTCGTACACCCTTTTCAACATGGGGGGAGCTTTGATGAATTAGTCTTCACTAGGCATGATTGGCACCCTTCGCCAATCCGAACCTCCAAATCCTCTCACTTCCATCATTAACTCCTTCGGACTCCTTCCTCCCGCCAGCGCTGTCGCCGCGCTTTCCCGTGCAGCCGCCCACGTCGCCGAACGTCGCAGGCTCGGCACTTGTGGTTGGCCCTGCTGGGTGGAGCGATTCACTGGGCTGTTTCTTTGCATAGCAGCTTGGGACGCACCGGCACCGGGCGCCAGGCTTTGGTCTTTGGTGGGGGTGCGGTCGGGGTGTGGTGGAGGGAAACCAACGATGTTGATTCATGATGTTGGTCACATTTGCGTATTATGTTTCACTGTGTCTTTCTTTGTGTTTGGGGGTTGCACTGTTGCACGTCTCAAAATGCATCAGAGTCTTGGGGTTGCCGTTCCGAGCGGTTGGCTTTTTCCTTGTTGCGTTTTGTACATTTGTTTGTTCGGTGGTGACTCCTTTTTTTGGCTGGGTCCTTTGTGTTGTTTCTTTGTGTGGGTGGCATTTGTCTTTGCACATTATAGATGTGCGTTGGTTTTTGCACTTTTCAGTGTGGAGGAGTTCTGAGACTTGTTGAAAGACTGTTGGGATCACATTTGGCTACGTTATCAGCAGCTCAAGGTTGTGTTCACTCGTCGCAGTGTCGTGCAGTTTCGTATTTTACAGCCAACGCTCACCATGGACCATATGCCATCCGCGCTTGCTGGTGTTTCTTCGAGAGTTTGACGGACTCTTGCGTGGTGCCGTTCTTGAAGAAGCTTTCCAAATATATAATATATGGAGTGATGTGCGCGGACGCTAACATAACATACGCTAAAGGGATCTAAAGTGCAAAGGGCAGGCCAAATAAGGTCCCGTGGAAACGGGGGTTTGTGCAGCCGGAAGCACTGAAAAAGTGCAGGTTGCGTAGACGCTCAACAAATGCCCTTCTGGTTGTGGGATATCGCATCGGCATAAATCAACCCCGGACGACTGTGAAACGTAACTTGTGGAAATCCGGCTTTTAAGCCCTTCAAAACCCTGCAAGGGATACAAAACGTGACACAACCACCTCAGAACCACACCACGAGCATGTTACTTTTCGCAGGCGGCGAGGGCGACGCGAACCTTTCTTGTCTCCGCGGCATGGGAGACTTGAAATTCCGTGTAATGATCAACAGAAAGATGCAGAATGGATTCTTACTTGGCTTGACTTCAAAGAACATGCTTGCATTTACTGTAAGTGTTTTGCTAATGAGGCCCTTTGTGTTCCGCAAATGTTTTGTCATACAATGCGTAGCCATGCTGGCTGTGAACATCGTTCGTGCGATCCAACCCGATCGGGTGCTTGCGGCTGAGCTAGTCCACGACAACAACCTGCTGGCAATCCTTTCAGAAGCTTCAAGACTGTGCAGGGAGAAGTGGCATTACTTCAGATGGACATTCACATGGACATGCCACAGGACCCAGCTTTTCGCAGCCGGAGAAGAGGACAAAGTGGCCATAATGGCCATGAAGGTGCGGGAGGCATTGCGCCCCAGGGTGCCGCTGGACGGTTATTCCCGTCTTTCAGACGGTCCCAGGGTGGAAATCAATGAGGGAAAAATGGAGGGATGCACAGTCCAATCGAAGAGTGCCCCGAACCTCGAGGACATACCGCGGCTGCAAGCGCGATGCCAACTGGGTGGAGAAAAACTAACGTCTCTGTGGGCTCCATATGGTGGACGGAAGGAGGAAGCACGGGCGGCCTCGCTGGAGCTTGTTGGTTCATTGGACTTTGATCGTCCAAGTGATAAGCTAAGGGCATAACTCCGCGGTCATCGACATGGAGAACTCTGCAAACTGCAGACCTCATATAAGGACCTTGATCGGGATGTCTCACGTGTTACGTGTCGAAGCCGGTAGCCTTTATAGCATTAAGAGATATTAAGAGACCAATGAGTAGCTACCGACACTTGGGTGGGCTACCTGGCCGGAACGGGGGACAATGCCACCCACGTCACGGAGATTCGCCAATGTGACGGTCAGTCCCGATCCCTGGTGGATGGCCTCTTTGGGGGCTGTGGCTCGCGACAAATAATGCCAGAGCAGAGCGGGCATGCTTGCGGAGCAGTACAGGGCATTGTTGTGGCAAGGTGGGGAGGCTGGCGGCTGGTGGGGCTTCCGTGGAGGGTGAGAAAGGCGGAAACGCTAGTTTTGTTTTGGACGGTTTAATTAAAAAAACGGACCTGACTTCAAATTCTCATGATGCTTTTCTGCAACGTGTGCCAATTCGGAGGAGGCCATAGCATTTTGGAACATGCACCCTAGTATGCTCCCTTTAAGCACGCGGGGTCCACTTGCATGGGGCACGTTCCAGAGGCGCGTCCTTTGTCAATGCATTCCGTTTCCTTTTGTGAAGTTTGCACGGCTTATGGCCAGATTTGTGCCAAACCAATTGGCTTGATGAGCTTCAATGTAGAGGGCCTTCAACCTTGACTCACTTGAATGGGGCTGCCACGAAGCCACTGGACGGCTGAATTCGGTTCCCATGGGCTACAACCACTCAGCCTACATGCTCAGCATTGAGGTTTTGAGCCATGTGCTTGCCATTGTTTGGCCGACAGCTGATGATCTCAACAATTTCGCAATTTTACTCGCTGCTGTTGCAGATTCATAGAGTATTATATAATGAACGTCATTCAATGATGTGAAGGTGCGTCGATAGAGCCACGATGCCGAGAAACATGGTATATAGAAGAAAACTGGCTGGAGGGGCACTAGGGCCGCAAAAGCCCCGGAGTCCTCCGGAATCGTCGGCCTCCAAGGCATTTTCAGCTCGTTGTCTTCCAGCGATTTGCTCTTTGCACAGACTGCCGAGTTGCTGATCTATTACGCTGGTGTCGCCACTCGTTTGAATTTGATTTACTTGTTGCGGTCATGTGGCTGACATGTTGGCCATGTTGTCCACCCTTGTGAAAGAAGAGGGCTTCACTTAGTGAAAAAAAAGGACACGTTTCTGCTGGGCAATGACTTTGAGGGTTCCCGCTTTGGGCTCTGCTCACTTTCATTGTTGGTGATTGTTGGTGGGTGATTTGCTTTACGCGTGCATGTGTTTCAGTGCCTCCCAAGTGAGATGAGAGTCTTGTAAGTTCCGTTGCAGTAGCAAACCAGTACACCGGCAAAACCACACAAGCCAGGTCAAGATGCATTGGATTTTAGAACGTGAAATTTCATGGAACTGAACTAGTCCGATCCTTTCGATGTGTTGTTGTTTTTTTCGGAAAAATTGATCTGACTAGTTTCACCGGTGTATGTTGTCAGGTCAGGAGGGGCCACAACATGAACAATTGTAATTGACATCAATACTAAGGGGGCTATAGTCGCTGAACCCTTGGTGATTGATCATGAAAACTGGTAATTAGACTTAAACCTCCTCAGTAGGTATTTGTAAGAGGGTTCCTCCTTTGATGTTCCAGATCATGCAACGGGAGGCTTATGTCTTTGTAGGTGCATGATAGATGCAATATGTTTTGAAACCGATGCATGTGGCCATTGTGCATTGCAACCGTTGGAAATTATTTGTCAGAGGACTTCATTGAAGGTTCTTTTGGATATGGAGAGATCAACCAGTTCAAATGACAAAACCTCCACATGCCCATATGTTTTACGTAATTTGTTGTGTTCTCCTGAAGCTCCCAGTGGTCCGCGGGGTTGGCGTGGTGGCTGTCATGTTGCCAAACCCGATTCGCCCAGGTGACCATACGACAACAGATGTATGAGAATGTGAAGATGAGTGTGAACTTGCAGAACCTTAGGCTCAATTCCCAACATTTGCTATATGTTTACAAGCGCCGAATGACCCGTTAAATCACGTGGGACTTGAGCCAAGAGTTTTGGGCGCGGGGTGTCTGACAACATGCTGAAACCTCCAAATCCTTCACTTGAAGACTTGGAGCAGTGGAACATTGGGGGCATAGACACATCAAATGTTGGTGATTTGGAAGTTTGGAAGGTTGGTGATCAACACCTTTTGAAACATCTTGGAAAATTCCAAATTCCAGACGGATAAAGCACTCTGACGGCCACCGGTGCAAGCTCAGAGCTGCAAGTTCCGCAGTGAGTTGCAGAGCTGCATATGTTCCCCAGATTGTTTGTTGCTGGAAATGTTTGTTGCAGAGCCGTATGATATGCTCAGGCTATGTTGTTGTCAGGTTTAGTAATTGGATGCAGGTGCAGATGCTTGGTGTTTGTCAAAGTTTGAAGACTTTAAGCATGCGGTCATGACTCATGACCCTCTAACTCCTACACTTGAAGCCTTTTTCCCAGCTAAAGAGGGTGCATTTGTCCAAAATATGTTCCCAATACAGATCTCACAGTGTATCCGAATTGTTGCACCAAATCTCGAGCTTTAGTTTAACATGTCTGGATCATAGTCCAACCAGCCAGAGTCAGGGACTGTGCAAGACCTTCATTCACAGGTTTTGGGTCTTCGAATCGCGTTTAAAAAGGGTCCCATCCCCAAAAGGGACTTGCTGAAACTCCTCTCCTCGGAGCTAAGGAAGCGCACCATCGAGCTTGGTGCGGCTTCCTGCTTACTTCTGGAATTCTGTGACGCGGTCGTGGAGCTGGATGAAGAAATGAAGATCACTGTGACGTCGAATCAACTTTCGACCTTGCTTTTGCCTCTCGGCGTTCACAAGAGACGGGTGGAAAAGGGGAATTGCTATGATGATGTATGGACCAATATCATGGAGAGTGATGCGTAGACATGCGTAGACTAATAGATTCCTCGTATCCTAGTATCATGGAGAGTGTATTATTACATATTATTACTATTATATATTGTTATTATTGTTATGTAGACTCTTTGAGATTGCGGAGGAGTTCATGGACTATCCTAATATCCGCATTTTGGCATTTTCCTCCTCCAGTGGCTTTTGCAATCAGCACATGCTTTCGAAACATATTGTTTGCGTAATCGCCCCACTTCTTCACGAATGGATCATGAATTTACCCATCTTAGTGGTAGCAAACACGCTCGATTTCTTGGTGTCGAACAGAGCTTGCCGCACCGAGAGCGAGCTTTTCGAGCCGCCCAGGCGCAGCCTGGGCAGCCCTCCACCGGATCTCCGCGGCAGCGACTTTCTGCAGCTCTTTGTGGAAGAGGAGCGGCACCGCGACGCGACGCCTGACGCCGCGTGGCTGGGGGACCTAGCAATTGTGTGGCACCTCTATTCTGCCAAGCTCCTTTTTTGGGGGTGTGTTGGTGAGTCAGGTCTCGGATGGTTGGATTTGGTTCCCCAAAAAATGATTTATACAGAACATGAATCTATATTAAAAGCCAAAACAGTTGTCAGACCTTTGATTGTTCCAGACTCTTCGAAAACAAGAGGAGGCGTCCTGCCCTCCCCAGATGTGTCGCCGTGATGTTTGGCGATGTGCGGCAGAAACTGCGGGAGGACCGGGAGCTACTTCACACTTCATTGGGATCCACTTCTGCAACTGCCAGGGTCTATTCCCGTATGCTCGACGCGCTGGACGACTCGGTCGGAGACTTTGTGAATCGACGCGCTTGGCACAAAGATAGACATAGACCACTTGGATAAGATTCAAAACTGAGAACCTTCCGGTTCCTTTAGCCATGGCTTTGAGGTGGAAGTCCATTTGAATGGACCCGTAGGTCCAGGAACTGGGTTACTTCACCCCTTTCTCAGGAAGCACCGTGCGGTTGGAACTGCTACATACTCAGCCTCTGAGCTGCATTTGGAATGTCCTTCAGGCAAGGATACCTCGGCCGGCCTTGGGTAGACTGGCAGATATCATATGATAATTATCTATATAATAGTCTACAAGGAATACTGACGTCGTACTGCACTATAATGGTTTGGGCACCGTGCAGTGCAGCATAGAGTCCTTCGGTAGATAGATATTAGACATGGTGTCGAATGCATTGTTGACAGGGATTCAGTCGGCTCTCCATTATTGGTCTCATTGACCAGGCTACAGGAAACCCAACAAGCAATAGGATCAATAGGAAAGGGGTCACATGATTGAAAAACATACTGTACCATTGAAAAGACATGTTGCATTTCCTCCTCCTGGGTTGTTTGGCGGAATGTATCTACTGTAAATTCACGAAGCTGACTTGGGCCCAATCGGGGTGGACACTCTCTTTTTGCGGTCTCACGTGTGGCTGTATGCCATTATCCATGGACGCGGTTGTACAGGGTTTTGAAAGCTGAATTGTTGCATAGAATTGTGTGGTGTGCAACAGTGGTCGTGGAATGCAACAAAATAAATTTCATGCTATATATATATATATAGCCGGACCCTGCTTCACGGCACATTTGGGGTGCTCTTTGAGCTACTTGACTCGACAAGCTCTTACTTCAAAAATGCATCAAGCTGCAGCCTCGTTTGGTCGCTGTGTTCATGCCGACGCATCGTGTCTCAGCCCGAGTTCTGATGCCCCAGACGAGCTTGGACCTTGAAAGGAAGATAAGTCATAAATGAAAGAGGCCAAAGGGCATGGTGTGCGGTGTCAGATCTCAAAGGATTTGATCCAGCTTCAATGACGGGGCTGTATGATATCGTTGGCAGTTGTAAGAATCCGACGTACTCAGACCGTCCCAGGTTCCAAAATGCCGATGGTCAGAAGTGTCGCCTGGTTGGGCTGCGAGAGTGCCAGGACACTCAGGCGCTTTGGGGTGCTAGGTGAGATGCCATGGAAGTCGATCAATGACTCCATGTTGTGGAATCCTGGGTTCAAAACTCTGCGGTGGTTGGCATCCCATCCCCACGTGATGTGCAAACATGGTCACTGAATCACTGTGTAACTTGTTTGATCTATGTTTGTAGGCCAGTAGGCCAGTAGGCTGAAAAATGTGATCAGAGGGTAGTGTACTAGCCGGAGCGCTTTGCCCAGCTCCAGCCACCCTTTTTTTGGCAAACTTGTCGCCCTCACTTGGCACAAGGAAAGTCATGTTTCGGCATTTGTAAGACTTACCTTTTTGCAAGACGCTTCGTTATGTTTGGATAAGACATGTTTCCAGTGGTCCCGGACGGCTTTGAAGTGGGCACCAACAACCCAGGTATAATTGGCGATTGAATATGTAGACATGCATAGACATGCTGGAAGGGATTGTGAGTCGACAGAACACCACCGTCGTTGCATACCAAACATCATGTGCACGAATCGATGAGCATGACATGACTGGAGTCCAATCCCCAAAGGCCCAAAGACGTCCGGATTCCATGTGCATGTTTGCTGCTATTGTACTGACAACTCTAGCTGAGTCTATGTACTGTAACAATGTAGTTGTGAGGCAAGAAGCTGTGATCTTAACCTAAGGCCAGCATGCACGTTTCACGATTATACCATGCTGACTCCAGAAAAGCCCAGTGCACGAAAACATGTTTTCCTGCCAGGATGCTGCCTCAGTGGCTCCTTTGAAGGACCAGGCACCTTCGGTGGACACATCTCGTGCCTCACTCCTTTTCGACGCATCTCAGCCTGCATTTACGTGTTTGAGCAGTACAGGGATGACAAGGGCATGCACAGGAGCGTGTGGTGACCCTAAGTGGAGGTCCCTGCTAATATCCATCCATTGTTATTTGAGCCAGGGGCACACCAATGCATGCATGACCTGCACAGGAAACGGGCACATTATAATGATTACTATATTGTATATTATATTATCATGTCATTATTTCATCCATATCGTTCACATTCTCCAGATCCCACAGCACGACCCGCTTGTTTGGGGTGGCAGGGTGGAATAACAAGGATTTTCCGTGTGTGTGTGTGTGTGTGTGTCACCCTCCGTCTCTAGGAGTTTGTTTATCGCAGGGGGACGGGTCACCATCGATATACTGCCCGTCCAACGAAGAGGGTATCGGTTGGTGCTGAAGCAGTGGAGGACGCTCCACTGTGTACCTGCATCGAACGCAATGACTCCACTGGTTTCCCTTGCCTTTGTTGGTTTGTTTCCATGGTGGCTGTACAATCTTAGCGACGTCAGACGAGGTGACGAGGTACCCTTTTGGATTTAACGAGGTGATTTAACTAAATCTGTGCAGACGAGGTAGCTGCTGGTGATCCGGTTCCTGTGCAATAGCGGATGAATACAACTTCCATGAAGCTACAAAGTTTTTTTAGTTGCTTGATTTCACTCGGCTGTGCAGCAGCCATTTTACTGAGAGTACCCTTGCGTCCCACCAGTGTGCAGCAGCCATGAGCCTTCGTGTGGTCGTTGCTTCTCGCTTCCAAGATGAGCTTTTGAAGACGGAGAGCAACCCAGACCACAAGTGGAAGGACATCATTGCTTCGTTTGCTGCAGCACAAGGCATTTCGGAGCATGGCTTGTCCTTCTGGGTTGGTGACTGCAAAGTGGTCCCAGAGAACTTGGTGAGTCGTGAGTTCCTCCTCGGCTGGGGATCTTGGTTTTGTGTTCGTTTCAGCGCAGACCGAGTCGCAGGAGCACTTGAACGCACTGGGTGGCTCTTTGCGCAGGCGTTGCGAACGTGCGTATGACGGCAGCACAAGTGCTTGCTTTGACAATGTGGCCGGCTCAGACAAGATGACTGAAGAATCTTTTCTGAGGCACGGACCGGTATTTGTCCTTATCATGCTATGTATTATTTTTATATATTTGCACAGGCTCACGAAAAAAAAACAACTTTGCAGGGTCAGGAAAGTTTTTTCTGCACATTCTTTTTTGCGGAATGTCTGGCTGTGCTCACGCATGCAGACGGGGCATGTCTCGGTTTGAAACCACTGTGTTGTGATTCCGAAGGCTGTGCGAGTTGTCTGGTGCTCAGCGGGAAAACGCTTCAAAGGCATGGCGTACTGCTGTCCTCGACGGCAAAGGCATGTCCAAACTAATCCTGATTATTTCTCCATTGTATCCACACATGCCGCCAGGACTTTGCAGAGCAGTGCATTTCGAAGATTGCTGCCCGCTTTGCAGACCCTTCCCTGCTCCAGTCCTACCAGATGTTCCGTCCAGGTTGGAAATTTGATCAGCAGGCTTTGATCGATTTTGCCAAGCCGCTTGCTGAGTTTTGGAAGCTGGACGGACGTGACTTGGTGACGAGCTTGAGGCGGCTTATGGCAGTTCGAGACACAGTTTTGCAACGAGGTTCCGTGGAGTCAGCCCTAGAGCGGCTCCTTGTGGTGGAAGACAAGATGGCTGCCACGGATGATCCAGGCCACAAGGTTCTTTGCTCTTTTCTTCTCGGTCAGACACAGTCGGCCCACTGCGAGCGTACATTTGCCCTTGTCGTTGAAATGCAGTACCTGGCCAAGCAATTTAAGCAAAAAAACTTTTCCGCCCCCCCGAAGTTTTTTGGAAACCCGAAGTGAGGGGTCACAAACAAACTTTGCTGCTGTCCCCAGAAAGTTTTTCTCTTTGCATGTCACCCCTGCCGTGGAGGAAGCATTTTGGCGCAGCCGCTACGCCAGCCTTCATCGAACAGCATTTGGTGGTCAAGGCATGGGGGCCCACTCCAAGCACAGAGGCTCCATGCCTTCAGCTCATCAACGCATGTTGCGCTGCCTTTCTCCAGAAAGAGCGCAGGTTTTCCACTGCAAAGGGAGAGCTCATCAAAAAGAAAGGAATCTTGACCCGAAGGGTCCGAAAGGTCCGAAGCGACAAAGGAAAGAAGCATGCATATCATAGAAGCAAAACCAAGACCGCTGGTCTGGTCAGCGCGCCCAATGCCAGGCTGCTTGAACGCAATGGCGAAGCCAAGATGTTTCTGGCAGAGGCGCCCGCAGAAGCGGCCAGGCCAAGCATTTTGGAAGAGTTATCCCAGCCCAAGAAGAGGCGTGGCGACAACTGAGTGCGCCAGTAAAAGATTTTGCTTCTTGTCAACAGGCAGACGAAGGGTTAAATCCGAAAAGCCGCTTTAACGAGGACACTAAGTTCCTCAGAAGTTGGATTTAAGCACGAGGTGACGAAGTGAAATTTAAAGTAGATTGCCCAGAAATGGTGGTTCTTCGCATGATATCCCCCAAAACAGGTTACCTTTGCACGGCATTAATTCAGTCTGCTCAGTAACTAGTAACTAGTTTGCTGCAGTCACGCGTCAACCTTTGTTCAAACACCTTCAACCACTTTGACTTTTCGCCTTTCGGTTCACTCTTTCCTTTCCTAGGTCTGCTAAGTATTCAGTAACTAGTTTTCTGCAGTCACGCGTTAACTTTTGTTCAAACACCTTCAAATGCTCTGACTCAGCTTTCCGTTATGCCATTCCTTGCACTGGGGATTATGGTTACCTGCTTGAAAACCCTGTGACTAAGTGTGTGTCGCTGTGTCGTCCCACTGGGTGCACAGTGTGATCCCCGCGGGCGCCGAAACCACCGTGGATCACAAATTGACTTTGCGCTTTTGAGTTCTGGGATTCTGATATTGGATTGAATTGTTTCACCCATGAATCAACTGAACCATATGCCGCCGGGCTCACGGACAGAATGCCGCCGGGCTTACGGAGAATGAACCCCCTGCCCCGTTTTCTTTTTCCCCCGGCCCCTCTAATTAGAGTAACAGAAGGAAATGGTACTCGACACACTTGTGTGTCGGTGCCTTTCCTTCTGTTGTCCCTGTTCTAGTCTACTCTACCCGGGCGGTTTAAGACTAAAGTCCCGCTCCCTAACTATTGCACGTATAATTAAGAACCGCCAAGTAAACAGTAAGTAGAGTGCTAAGTATTCAGACACACACATGTACACACACATGGACATACACCCCCTCCCTGCCCCCCGCTTTCTTCGTTTTCTAGGTTTTCTTTCAGGCTTGTTAGGTGGTTCTTGAGGCACGTTTCCCTACCCCTCGGGCTTTAGTCAAGGGCTGAGTACTCAAGTGCTAGGTAGTCATCTTTTTCGCTACTCCTATCTTTCCTTCTTGCCCTTTTCTTTTTGCTCCTTCTGTCTTTCTTTCCTTCGTTTCTAAGGCTTTTTAGGTGACTATTGAGGTTGTGCGAGAGAGCGCCACGAAGCGGCACCGTGTGTGCGTCACCCTCCGTCTCTAGGAGTTTGTTTATCGCAGGGGACGGGTCACCACCGATATACTGCCCGTCCAACGAAGAGGGTATCGGTTGGTGCTGAAGCAGTGGAGGACGCTCCCGTGTACCTGCATCGAACGCAATGACTCCACTGGTTTCCCTTGCCTCTGTTGGTTTGTTTCCATGGTGGTTCTTCGCATGATATCCCCAAAACAGGTTACCTAGCACGGCGTTAATTCAGTCTGCTCAGTAACTAGTTTGCTGCAGTCACGCGTCAACCTTTGTTCAAACACCTTCAAGCACTCTGACTTTGCGCCTTTCGGAGGTCTGCTGAGTATTCAGTAACTAGTTTTCTGCAGTCACGCGTTACCTTTTGTTCAAACACCTTCAAATGCTCTGACTCAGCCGCCTTTCCGTTATGCCATTCCTTTCACTGGGGATTTTGGCTAACTGAAAACCTTGTGACTAAGTGTGTTTTTCCTTCAAATTGGTGAGATATCAACAAACATGTACAGAGAGGGAGGGGGAGAGAGCACGCGCATACGTAGTTTACGCGCGCTCCCATAGCCAAATGTGTTGAGCTCGTGCTGCCGTGAAAGCTTTGCTGCCGTCGTGCCCCATGGATTTGTACGGCCACATGCAAACGAATCCGTACGCACACGTTGGGGGGCGGGCGATCGCTCGTCCATCCATCCTCCTGGACAGCATTTCATATCATTTCATCATGTTTCATCCACCGCAACACCCCCACTGGCCACGAACAAAAGACCAACGGCCCCCACCAGTGCGGGCCGTGCCGCGGTGTTGTCGATGTTTTCGGGCGCAGGGACGTTTTTTTCGTTCGCTGGACCGAGGCCTGTAGCTTCGAAGTCCTGGGTGCCACCGAAGGCTTTGCGGAGCTTTTCCCTGATGCGGACCTCGGGGGGTTCGATTGCAACTGCATTGGTGTTGCACAGTGTGTTTTATTGGTCTTCCAGTTGCCTTTGTGCCCAAACATTATGTTTAAGCGTTTTTTGATGACAGCGCCAGACTAACAAGGTCTTACATGTTTTTATTATTAAAAGGTATCTTGACTGGACCGGGGTTACTTGTGCAATCGTGTGCATGAGTCAACACTGTTTCAGCAGCATTTCGAAGGAGAAGGACAAGTTGGAGCAGATGAGCATTTCTGATCTGCTGGGGCCTTCTGAGTTGCTTGGTCGGCCAAATGGGGTTTGGGTGGGCGGTGGGTGGTGGGTTTGGTCGGTAGCGGCGACCAAATCGCGCGACCGGTCGTTGGAGGATGAACTGTGAGATCTTCCAGCCGTGTTTCATATCGTTTCACCGTGGTGGTGTTTTACACGTTGCGGGGGATGCCCGCCCATCGAGAACGTGTAATCCCGCGATAGATTCAGTGCACACACACCTGATTCCCAGCATAAAAAGAAAAGCAGCTGTCAGCAAGGAGGAAATGAACCCGTAAACGTGTTTTTGATGTTTTTTGGATGTTTTTTGGGGGACTTGCTGACTCACTGCACCCTAAAGATTCCAGCTGACTGAAGTTACAAAACTTTCTAACTTGACCCCTAAGTAAATATAGGGTTATGTTTGTGCAGTGTGTCCATAAGTTCCTTGCTGAGGCTTTAGTGCAAACTTTGCACTTAAGACTACACCCCTTCAAGCTGCAACATGTTCAAAAGGCACTCTTATGTTTTAGCCACCAGGGGTGGCTGCCCGCACCTGTCAACACTTGCAACTGGCTGCACCGGTCGTCCGCCCAAGAACCGTCATCTCGACCATTCAATCTGCAGTGAACACCTTCGATCCGGCATTCAAAAGGCCCACGGGCTCAGCGGTCGCGAAAGCGGTCGTTCGCCTCGCAGTCTGGGCCGGTCTGGGCCGCGAGCGGCATGTGCCTGGGGCCTGGCGGTTTGCTCAATCTCCACCCCACCAAGAGTGAGTCGGTGATGCAAAACCCATAGAATTTGCCGGCTGAACAGATACTGATAATAGCATGTCACCATGTCCATCCTATGTCCGGCCTGGATGCTTTTCCGAGCTTCTTCAAGATGTATCGGGTAGTTGGATGGCTATGGCTATGACATGCTATGACCTTGCCACAAAGCCATCCACCCTGCTTCCGCGGAGGCCGATTTCGTTGGGCTGTGTGGAGATCTTCCACCAGCGTGTGCAGGCGCGTGGTGATCAGTGGGTGGCTGGGCGCGCTCGGGTAGTGTTTGTTGGACCCAACCACTGGACCCACAGGACGTCTCCAGAGATCGAACTACCCTTTGTAAGAAGATGGTGGCTATAGGTGCCTAGCGTGTAGAGGAAGATTCTGGGGAGCCATGAATCATGAAACCATGTCGTATGTATGCATGTGTATGCTCTAGCTGGATTTGGTTGAATTTGCGGATCTGTCGTCAGGCCACCCTCACCCTGCAGAATGATGATTTGCTGAAGACGATTGTTGGCACATTAGTCACTTGGACCACACTGGCCCGGCCTGGCCTGGAGTCTTTGGGAAGGCAGGCCCCGAAAAGGCATACTCTCCCTCCAGCAACCATGGAAGATATGGAAGCGAACAATCGTTTGTTTGGTATTCGGATTTCATTGTCTTGCCAGGGGCCAGGATGTCCGGTCGCTCGGACAGCTCCAAGGCGATCTCAACAGGGACCACGAATGCCAGATCCAAGAGGACCAGCCGTGGGATTCGGAAAGCTTATGTTCAGTTTCCAAGAGGCTCGGATTCGACCCCCAACTGGCTGGCATACTCACAACCAATGCAGGTATATGGGACTGGCCAGGTCCCGCATCCCGGCGATATCGCCCAGCTTCGTTGGTCAAGGTTGGTGATATCGCGGCTTGACCCCGTGCAGTTGAACACCGGCAGGTGACCTTTGACTCCAAGGTGTCCCAATGGGAGGCACGTGTGTAGCCTCCATCCTGCCAGAAAGGAGGCACCCCCATCCTACTTGGAAAGTTGGCTTATGCGAGGGCACATGTACGTGCAAAAGGGACCAATGAACGATGAAACAGACATGACAAGACAGACAATCGGTGTGCAGCGAATGAAGGAAGACCAAGTGAAGAGGGACAACCGATGAACCAAACCTCCTTGTAGAAAGCCGGGGCACCTAAGTCATGTTTGTTGAATATAAAAAGGCACGCGCGCGTGTGCACAAACTATAGGGCCCGGACAACAGCACATGCAAAAGAAGAAAGGTGTGAGGATGACAGGACATGAAGAAAGAACAGGTATGAAAGAAAAGAGAAAGGCTGTGTTTGGGGGGCCAATGAAAAGGAAACCAGATGAAAGGAAACAAGCCGGTGACCTCATTAAGGAACCTGTTAAAGAAAACAATGGTGCTCCCAACTACGACCCAAACGTCCAGGGACATATCAAAAAGGGAGAAGGGTTCCCAGCTATTATGGCGCAAGCGTCCAGGGACACACATGTAGGGAAAAGAAGGGAAAAAGGGGGGAAGAGAGAGAAAGAGGAAGGAAAAGGAAAGGCGTTCCCAGCTACGACAAGCGCGTCGAGGGACACACCGTAAATAGTGGGGTGCCTGGATATTGCATCCCGAAATGCCCAAAAGAAAGATGGGAAGAAAGAAAGAAGCGGTAGGTGCTCCCAGCTACGGCACAGGCGTCCAGGGACGCACCGTAGATAATGGGGCTCCTGAGTATTGCATCCATAAGAGGGGAGGGAAAGAGAAGGGGGAGAGATGGAGGCAACTGCGACCGCTGCGGTGTAGTCTTGCCACGCCAAAATGGGCTGCTTTGGTCCGCAGCAGGCTGCTCTTGGCATGCAGCCTGCTCAAAATTCTGGCCATGCCGCCAGGTCTTAATGATCTTAATGCTCCTTTGCCAAGCCTCCTCCAAGCCAGACACATGCGGAAAATGCGAAATACGGAACTCATTGCAGTTTGCCACACGCCAGCCTAAGTTAAAAAAAACAAAGAGTCCGGTGGAGGCCATCGTTTTAAGGTTAGAGGCCGCTAGGTTAACAAACTGACAGCGAACACAGCAAGCGTGACTGCAGACCTGGAAACCTCAACAGCCTTTCATGTTTACAAGTGGGCGATGCTCACATTACTCACAACCAATGCAGGTACATGGGACTGGCCAGGTCCCACATCCCGCGATATCACCGAGCATCGTTGGTCTTGGTCAAGGTTGGTGGTATCAAGCCTTGAACCCGTGCATTTGAGCACCGGCAGGTGACCTGGTGCCCACACAAGGACGCATGTGTGTGCAAAAACGACGAAAGAGACAAAACAGACAAACGTTGTGTAGTTGCCAATGATGGAAGAACCAGGTGAGGAGAGACAACCGACCTATATATCACTTGCCTCCCTGTGCCTGCAGGGACTTGCTGTGTTCATGCCCTGCTTTCACGCCCAATGCTCCATGAGTTGCTCCATTTTATTTCTTTTTGTGTGGAGAACACAATTAAACCTATTTGCGGCCATGACCTATGTAAAAATTAGCGACCGGCAGCCGGATCAGAAACAACAGGCTCTCTTGGTGTATGCTGCCGATTCTGCCAGGCAGCATTGTGTTTCTGTGAGCCGCCTTCTCTGTGTGCTGCTTGGGGCGTTTGTGTGTGAAAAATGTTCGACAGGCCTTGCACCTTTGCCAACATTAGGAAACATCATACCAACAATAATATCTTGTTGGTCCCTCGGGGCCCCGGGAAAACATGTTAGATCTTGATTGTTCTCCTTTTATTCCTGGGTGGATCCAGGGCAGCTCAAGGACTTTTGATTTCATGCTGGTTTCGGTTAAGATTGTCAACCAGACATGTGTCATTTGCCTCGGTCCGCATCGGAGCACGACACGACAGTGAGATGAGATGTGCCACTTGGAGGGAAAGCGCCCAACATATATATTGCAAATTTCAACTAGATGTGCAAATATGTATGTATAGAGCCCGCTTTCTGGGACTGCTTGTTGCACGCTGCGGAGGACTACACCGCGTCATGCACGCTCAAGTAGCAGTCACGTTCCTTGGCACAGACATCATCCGTTTTGTATGTTTTCAGGTACATGACTAGTCAATGCATCCCCTATTTTCCAAATCTTCCAAGTAATTCTAAAAGATTCATTTCCATTTAAATTTAACATAATTTAACATATATATATATAGTACCGTGCACTATTATATATATATAGAAAATATGTCCTTTAATAAGGGTGCATATTCTATTTGCACGGCTCGGGGGTAAAAACTATATAAATATGTTTTTAATTGTCTAAATTTGACTGTTGCTTGTGAAATATAAGTCTTCCCTCAGGGCCGGGCTCGCCCCATGCCAGGCTCGGAAGTGGCTATTGTGTGGAATATTTATCTAAATCTACATTGGGAATTGGGGTGGTTGAAAAGGTTTATGGATGTTCAAAAGGTGCATGAGGGTACAACCTTGAGAGGAACGCAGCACGTTGCAAGTGTTCCAGAAAAAAAAAACGCCACTCCCGCGCCCTCCAATCAGTGCCCACAACCGCACCATCGGCAGACCAATGGAGACACACGACTCCTTTGTTCCCGCCGCACGTGCCCGAAGGATCCCCGAACGGAGGGATCGGCACCGCTTCGGATCGCCCAAACCAAAGAGGTGCAAATCCACTGTAGTGCGAGGGCCACCTCAAAGGGGACCAGGACCCAGTTCGGGTTCAGAGAGTGATGTTTCCCTTTAAGGATGCTGGCATTCCTTTTGTTTGAGAGTTGGCACCCGTCCGGGGAGTTCTCCTTACTGAATCTGAGTGTTTCTCAAGCGTCTAGCCTTGGGAGGGCGACGTTTTGCTGTAAGAGTTGCTGTAGCAATGTTAGGTGAGGTCTTTGTAAAAATGCATGCGGGAAATGTCCAGGCAGCTGTTTTGGATAATGTGCCCGAAACCTTGTAGAAGGCAAATGTACGCAGTTATACAATTGTGTAGCCGTCATGGTTGCCGGAAGTTGAAACTTAGAAATCTGCCTTGTTTGTGCCCTAAGATCGCACAACCCCTTGAAAGATGTACCATGCTGGTGATTTTGTCCCTGGAGGTCCAGTGCTGGAATCCAATGAAGCAAGAACCATTTCAAGACGATCCACAAATTTCATGGACAGACTCAGAAATTGGGGAATTCACCAATTCAGCGGCAGATTAGCCAAATATGAGACTTTTGAAGCAACCGAAAGCAGACGCTCTCCGGGAACCAGTGCTTCAAGGATGATCTACATTTAGTTTCCCCTTATTGGTCACGCTGCGCAACTAAGGACGACGGAAGCAGGAGAGGCAGCATCCTTGACTTGCGGAAGGAAGCTCCAACTGTTTCACTCTGAGGGTTGAGTGTGCTGTCAGAATCGGCGCGTGTGTTTGTCGTTCTGAGTTCCGAGGATGCGTTTGCAAGGAATTCGATGGAAGTTTCTCAAGCCGTTCTTAAGAAAAACCCGATGCTGTTCTGAGCAAACAACGTGTTTTGAGGACAGCATCAGGGTGAAGTTGGCACTGGCAAGCCCTTTTCCTGGTGGTTGTGTCCTGTTAATGTTTGGAGTTTGCCGGCTGCTTTTTTTTTTTTGGTGTCATCTGGTGTAAGCCATGCGTGTTTGAACATTTGCAACGTCTGGATAGTTCACTTCTGTATGTGTACTTCGTTCGCTTCCGGCAGTTCCTTTGAGGAATGTTTCAGTCGGCTCGACTGAGCAACTTGGAAGCATCCTTTCATTTGATGCAAAGGCGTTCGGTAGCAGATTGTGACACCAGCCTGGAACCTTTCTTTTGCCAGCAATGTTGTACGTGTTGTATTGTTATGCTGCTATCGATGCTGTTGGAACGTTCAAGAAATCTACTGTAGGACTTCCCTCCAAGAAACATGAAACGAAACAAGATCTAGCAAAGCAATGCACGACAAGTCAAAAGTGGCCCTCGATATTTGCGACCTCTCGCCAGATCAACGCCTGCTGTTTGTCCCAAATGAATAATTTCAATAGGTGGCGCACGTTTGATCAATAACAAAATGAACTGGCACCTCTGAAAGTGTCCAATGCTGCCAAAGGCTTTCGGGACCATTAGTGTCTCGGAGTTTGGACAACATGTTTATTATTATATAGATTGCATTCTGCAATCGTTTCCTTTGTTCCAGGGCAAGGGGCCCCAGGAGCATCATACATGCTGGGTGCGATACGGATTCTTTCGTGTCCAGGGTTAGTGAATGGTTGCCCTTACAGATCTCGGCCCGGGTTCGTTTGGGGCGCCGGGTGCTCCAAACCGCTGGGGATTTGCAAAACGGTTTTGGTACCTGAAAGGTTCAAGGTTTGTTTGCCCCACAGAATTGCAAGAACAATCCTGCTTGGGAAGGTCAGCCAAGTCCACTCGGTCGCTATTATTAGCACCCACCCTGAATCATCCTGAGATGTCGGGGTTGTTGATCATTGGCTTGGAGGCAAGCTTGATTAGCCAGCTGCTCCCGGAGAAGTTCTGTTTTTTCTCCAGACGTGGGTGTAATCGCAGGACCCACTGGGCCAGTGGGTAATTTACAAAAACAAATAACGTTGGGGAAAGTCACCAGCCATTGTGGCAAGCATTTGCATGATTACATGGCAATCCACTGTGCAGTCGAATTCGAGACGCACCTTGGCAGCAGTCAATTTGTAGAGGCAGGCGGTGCAGTACCAGATGCAGGCACCACTGGCACGAACCCAGAGAATCCAATAGACCATTTTGCATTGGGACCCGGCCGCCCCAATGGTAATTTTTGTGGGTTTGTCAAATCACTCTCATCCATCACTGAAGCTACTGTGGTTCCTTGTTAGGCTTCAGCTGGGGGAAGTTATGAGGCTCAACTGACCGCTAAAATTAGTAGACATACCGCTGAAGATCACTTCACAGCTGCTCCAAACATATGCCAATGGATCCAAATCGATTGAGGCTATGTCACAAAACCGCGCCAAATGTTCGCCTCATACCTTATGGAATCTTCGCCCTATGCAACGAAACCGTTCTTGATCAACCACATGTTAGTCATGTTATTCTACAGTTAACTGTAACTATGAGTCGCTGCGAGTCGCTTAGAGTCGCTTTCCTTTCGGCGTGTCCGACGTTGGGTTATCCAACGGCAGCTTCAAACGACCGCTTTTTTTTTTCGCTAGGGAACGACAGGCATATACTCCCCTGCAGATTACCATGGACCCCCAAAACCACTGGGTTGGTATTCGGAAAGTGGTCGAAACCACCAGTCAATTTTCTGGTTCCTGTAGGGATCGTTTGCGGGAGGGTAGTTTGTTTGGTTCAGAATTTGAAGGGCCCCGGCATGTGCTGCTTTGCTGTATGACCGTGCCCAGCGAAGAGATGTGTAGAGCCAGCACATTTTGGACGTGCTGCAATGGAACCATGCTCAAGTAAGCAGGAGCTTCCCGAAACATGGCCAGTTCTGGAATTTACAGATGATCACTGGACATTTGTTCGGCCGGGTGCCCAGCTGGGAAGCCCTTCCGCCCTGACATGGCTGGCGCGCCCGAGCTCGCCCAGCAAGACCCTTCTGCTGCCAGGTTCAAAAATGACTCACGGAGTCTGGACATGAATCGTGTTGGACACCCGACTGTCAAGTGGAATCTGGTCTTTGGATAGCATGACATAGCGTTTTTTGGAGAGGTTTGTACGGGGACCCCAAATTCCCAGAATCCAACAGGCGCGAGGGGCAGGAGCAGGCCACCAAACATCAGCGCTTGGAGGACCCCCCTGCTCATTACCCTCAAAGTGCCCGTCCAATCTGGCAGCTCCGACCGTTTGCCCTGTGTGTGTTGCAAAGCCTTCCCCAACAAAGACTGCTTTGAGCACTACGAGTTTGAGCATACGAACCCGGTTGGGGGCTGAAGTAGCAGCTCGCCCCACTTTGTCCCACAGGACTCGACTTGACACGGCCGCAACTTGCAGGTGGAGCCGAATCACTTCAGCCTCAGTTCAGCCATCAGTACGGGACTTTCAAGTTGGCCACGAGCTGTGTCGTTGCTGCCAGCAGTTTGATTGAATGCTCACTTGGTGGATGCAGTGGGCAGCCTATAGATGTCTATGGAACTTTTTGCACCAGGTTTGGGTCAGAATTGGATAGGTCATGATACAATTTTTTCAAAGGCCAACAAACACATATCAGTTGGAGTTCTATGCATTCTTACCGAGCAATTGGTGGTCACCATCATTGGGACGCTGACAGTCACATCAGGTAAGGTAGGCCTTTCACAAGCCAAGCGCCAATCCACCTGGTTTATGCCCTTCTATAACCACAAAATCAGTAGATCGGCAGTGAATTTGTTCCGTTCTGAGGGAGCGGACCCACCAACAAAGTAACAAAGGGGCATTCCTCCACTCTGGTTATATGGTTGTTGTGCAGAAGGGCATGAGTCTCGTATATATATATATATATATATATATGCTACCACCCCCCCCAAAGAAAAAAAACGTTTTCAGACAAATTTATTGCTTGTATGTGAGAGTTGTCCTTGATGGCCACGCAGATGTACAACAGATGAAGCCTTTGGCTGCATTGGCACAAACAGCTCATTTTACTATGTATATATATATACATATTTTTTACATTATATAAGGTTAGAGAAATTAGTGTTAACCTTTAATGGTCGTTGTTTAGTGCTTAAACACCTTTTTTAAAGCATTAAAGGGCAAGACTAGATCAGTTTAAGCAGAATATAAGAGCTTATGAACAATTATATCAGGTTTGAAGGAAATACAGGGTCACAAGCAAGGGGTTCCTTCCTAGACACGAATCAGCAACGACCTTGCTGCTCGGAGGATCCTCCAAGAACAGCTCGGATTCCACCACCGAACTGCTCTTCACGTCCAATCCCTGATGTTGTTTCCGGTCATAAGGAATCCAAGCAGAGTAACAACCTGTTTCGTTTGCTTGCCTTTTGTTGTCTTGTTGGGAACGACGAGGCCCGGTTCCAGCACATACCGATTTGTTTTCACAAACATGGCGGCAATGGCGCCGTTTTTCGCGAGGTCAAGATGAGTCGTGTTTGTTATGTCTCCGCTCTGGCCAGCTGTGCATCCTCCATGGCTTGGGTCTGGTGGCTGCAGGGCCTGCCGGGTGCTGTGCTGGAAGAGAGTCCCCCACCTAGAAGAAATCCTGCAGCCAGGAATTTCATCACAGCTGACCGATTTCAAAGGAATCTAGGTCCTAGCTGTCCAAACTGGTCGATTTTCTACTTAACATAGTTACAGAATGATACAGACAATTCCTTGTGAGAAGGTCACGCAGAGCCCCTCAGGAGTCATGAGCCCTGTTCCCCCATCAAATATACCAACCACACAGCGCAAGTCTTTTACCGTGGGTCTTTCGCGTTTCGAGCGAAGGCGGGAAGCGTTTTGCAATTCTTCCGTTTGCTTTGGGGCGGATGCGCTGCGATTCATTGTGCATTTGGTCCAGTTGGTGCATGCCCAGGAAGCTGCCTTGGCTTGCTTAACAGCCATGCAGAATGCGCAGATGACCCCGGGCGCAGTTGAGGCAGCTGGGTAGTTGACGGGGAAGGATGCAGTTGGAATTCATAGGACTGCCTTGTAACGAGCCTGGCTCCCTGCAGTCCAACAACATGTTGCTGCGCAGCCTAGCTTCCTGTGCGAACCAGAAATTCTACACTTTTTTGGAGCCGTGGCCCAAGAAATCCATCAAGCCATAGCCTGCTACACAGGCAGCCAAAAAGCTCATAATTAGTCCCTATGGATCCAAGTACCTCCTCAGAAGGTATTTGGAGACTATTTATGTGGGCTTGGAGGGTCCAAGTACCTTCTGAGAAGGTATGTGGATCCATAGGGAGTAATAATTACATATTAATTGAGATTGTTTGCGTGCTATTTTTCAATGGCCTGATACACATGGATGTGATCCACAACGAGAGAGACAGAGAGAGGTGGCCGTAGGCGGTTCCACACAAGAACTGGCACCTGTTCCTTTGATTCATGAGCCAACATGAAATTGAGCACATTAAAATTCTTCTGAGAAAGAGCGACACACGGGAAACGACTTACTACCCAGCATGAGTGTGACGATCCGGAAAAAGCAGTCAGGAATTTCCCCATGTTGCCCGCATTTTGAGAAAGCCCTCGTTGTATCATCGACACCGAGTTGTATCATCGACACTGCACCACTTGGCATGACAGGTGGGCACTTTGGCTGAATCGTTCAACCGTGCTTTGGGGCACAAAGCGGCCACTTGGTCATGAGAACAGGCCGACAGGCGCCGACAAGGGGTGCTGCTTGATGGTGCTTGGCCCAAGGTATTTGCTTTGGCCTGCACCGTTTGGACCAAACCATTTTCACAAACAGGCTTTCCCATATAATATATATATAGATATTTACACAGCTAGTAAGCCAAAAAGCTGGTGCTCAGGAGGGATCGATTCGGAGCCGGAGGCATCCATGGATAATATTTCATAGTATTCACACCCATTGAACCGGGAGCTAAGTAGCTACACTACACAAATTCGCGGCCCCTTGCTAGAAAAGAAACCATCGGGTTTGTTTCACCCTGCCGTGTAATCGGTCCATGTCTCCTGGGACGGAAAAAACAACACAAGCCTCAGGTTTCTGTGTGTGTGCCCCTTGAAATCACAGGATCCTGTAGGAGTGTGACGATTCTTTTGTCTTTCAGCAGGGGGTGCCAGGGATGCACACTGGACTGGCACCAACGAAGACGCCAGTGTTGCATCTGTGAAATTAATCCGGGATGCCGGATTGACGTACCTGCTTGGAGAGAAACCTACTTAATGGACAAGCTGTTCCACTTGGGTGTTTTGCAGTAATCGTCTAGTGCTGAACTCACCGTCGTTGAGCTGTGGAGTTTTCCCTTTACTCACCCTGGTTTCTTAGGTTTTTCGCTTAGGCCGGCGTGTGGCGCCGCATTCACATCAGTACGCATTTCTATAAGTGTGTCCGTCCTAGTGAGAGCCAGGGTGACCCCGCAGAGTGGCCCCTGTGGACCCGTTGAGCGGGGGTTGGTCTATGTTTCCAATGCCGTGGAAACGCACGTGCCCAGAGCGGGCGCAGTAGTCTTATGCCAAAGTTATTTGCCAAGACTTGTCGGATTTTTGAATTCCAAGCTGGCTCATGCCTCCGCGTGACCGTAGCGGTCAAAGCTGCCAGCCATTTTGGCACGGCGTACGTGGCCGCAGCGGCCGAAGCTTGTTCAAGACTCGTTGGAGTGTCGGGACCTTAGTCCCTTTCCTCCCCCTACCCTCCCCTTCTTCTCTCTTTGCCTTTTTGGTGTATTCCTGAATGTAACACTCAGGTATACCCCTCTCCTTGGTGTGTCCCTGGACGCTTGCGCGTAGCTAGGAGCACTTGCTTTTGTGCTTTTACTTTTTTTTCCTTTTCTCCTTTCCCTCTTTCTCTCTCTCTCTCTCTCTCCCTCTCTCTCGGATCAGCGAATTTGTTAGCCCTTTACTGCATTAGGGCTTGACTGCAAAACATAGGAGTGGAATAGCTTAAGCAGTACTTAGAGAACAGCTGGTAAAACTCACCGATGCATTAGCCCTTTACGTTACTGCATTGGACGAGTGCATCAGAACTTTTCTTCTGCAAAACACCGAATTTCACAGCTTTGTCCTTACGTAGGTTTCGGAATCCAGATGCAGGTGATGCAGGTACACACTCAGGCGTCCCTGAATGCTTCCACCAGTCTTCGGTACTTCATTGGGCAACGTGGGAAGACTGGCCATGCCCCGCTGCTTGAATTACAAATTAAATGCAAGACCTGTCGGTGACCCTTGGAAACAGGGTGTGGCACATACACACATACACGGATTGAGAGATTCGAGGCAAGAGAACTACTTTGCAGTGTTTCGACCAGTTGGAAGGCGTTGGTCTGCGGTCTCCAATCGCCACTGAATGTGGGAGTTGGCGGATTCCTCGATTTCTAAGGGTGTTCTACTCTTCTAGAATCTAGAACTTCAGCGGCCGAAACAATTCGTGCAATCACAATCAGATGGGTGTGACCAGCCATGACCAGCCGCTGTAAGTTGCATTCCTTGTGAGTAGCTGCGTGGTTCCAGCAGGACCATATTATGGGGGAACAAATCCAGCAAACCTCTTGCGGTAGATTTTTGAGGTTGTGGTCACCGCAGTGTGGCCTCCCAAATCGGAAAGTAAACATTTTTCGACACATGTGTTTGCCTCGATTTTTGTCATTTACTATATTGCAATAATCATTGCAGTTTGTATTGTAGCTCATCAGTTTTATGTACTTTCAATTTTTCACCCTGCAACCTGCTGAGCGCAGGCGGGGAAGAAGGATGCTGTTCCCAATTTCACTGCAGAAGAGATCATCATGCAAGGATGGAGCGGCCACAATTTTGTTTGTGGATGTTCCAGCCGTGAATACTCCAAAGTCCGTTTCTACGTAGATTGAACAGGTAGCGTTTCCTTCTAACCGCGTTTGTTTCGTTTTTGTTAATCTTAGATTGTGGGGTTTGTGTTGCCCACAGCAGGCCCATGGTTTTCTGGCAGTTTTTCTTGCACATTTGCACCTGTAATTGCTGAAACCTCCTCCGGACCTCCCTGGGTCCGGCCTGCTTGGGCCCCACCAGCTTGGAGGGCCCGGCCTTCTGATGGCCAATAAGCCAGAAGGCACCTCGACCGAAGAGTTCCTTGGCGGCCGTTGCTGGGTGACGCTCGGCGTCGTTTGGGGGTGAAAGTCGATTGATCCGATTGGAGCACACGAAAAGGTATCCCTTTTGAAAGGAACACCCGTATAGATACTAACTATATTTAACTACTGTACGATACTTTACGTAGTTATGCTCTCATCCATAAACCGCGAGAGTCCAAAGATATCAAGGACAAACCCCCTTGACAGACACAACTCCTCTCTACTAAACGTTCAAAGACAATAGTTGACAATAGATATGTTCCATTTGCAGTTCTTTGGTGTGGATCCCCCCACAACAAAAATACAGCTGTTGTGTTTCTCACGGGTGGACTTCAGACGATGGTTTGCCCCCAAGAGAACTACAACCCAACTAGTCCCAACCCAGTTCTTCGTCGTCGTCGTCGTCGTCGTCGTCGTCGTTGGGGGTTTTATCCTGCTCGAGACCTTCCGAGGGCCAAGATTCCCCTAGACACGTGGGTTGACCCCCCCACCCTCCACCCTGTACGTAGCAGTACAAAAATGTACAAAAACAATGAGTTGAGGACAACCACTATTGAACTAAAGTGAGCTAAACCATATACGGATCCCTATTGGGTTGTGATCATATATGAGGATGTGCCTTTTGACATCCTCATCACTTTTTTAGTCCGGGCCCCTATTTTCAACTATCAACTTCGGAGATCAACCCAACTGGAACTTCCTCCCATCCAGCTCCTTGGAACTGCTCAACCGGTCTTGGTCTCTACTACCCGGCAACCTCAACTGCCGGAGGTTTGCGGCTGCCCTGGCCGCCCGCCTCAACTGCCGACTGTCCGTGACCAGTCGCTTAGACCATCCCACATCAGGCCGACTGTGGAGACACGTTTGGAGAAGCTGGGCACAAATGCATAGACCCCCAAATAGATAGAAAAGTAGATCCTCGCTTAAAATGTATTGGAAACCTTTCTATCTATTCGAGGCTGATTTCTGGGAGAGGCGGTTGTAGGTGTTCAACACGCGCGGTGAGGAGGCCCGCTGACTTTCAGATTCCTCTCTCTCACCGGGAGCCCTCCCCACACCGAGAAAGAAGACTCTCGCCACTCGTGGTCGGTCGAAGACTCTCGCACGAGTCGTCGTGTTTGGGATCGGTCAGCTTTTCTCAGTTTGAGAACCGCCGAACTTGATCGGTCCTTTTCTCGGGCCGGACTTCCGCCACTTGGACACGAACGAGTAGATGTGGGCCATGTGGGTGGCAAGGAGGCCTTTGTTTGATGCGCAGGGACTGGACACACCAACGCCAGGGGTTTTGCCCTTGGCCTTTGGCACGGAGTCGAGCATGGAAAAGTGGCTGGTTGCACAGCTGGCAGCCAGATTGGTGGAGAAGGAATATCTTTGCCTTTGCCTCTTGACTGCCTTAGCCATACTTTCTAGGTGTCTCCTTGCTTTGAGAACCTTGCGTTGAATCGTAAATCACAGCACAGACTTATACAACAAAGGCAGGCTTGTTTGCTGTTCTTCCAATAAGCTCCAGGAAACCAAAAACAAGATTGGTCCATTTGCCAATTGTGTTCAGACCGAATCCACAAAGAACCAGTTCCCTCAGTTCCCCAGGCGAGCACCGCAAGAAACTTCCCAAGATGAACTAAGTAATTGCCTCGTCAAGTGGAATTTGGGCATATGCAAACGCCTGAAAATGCGTAAGGTTATCAGGGAGTTGTGAGGCATGCATGTTGCGTAAGCTTTGCATGAACTCGTATTTTCACACGCATATTCCTAGTACACCTCCCTGTCAAGAAAGGAAGTGTCAGGATCATGGGAGCTTTGAAACTGTGTGCACTATGTTTCCGGTATATAAGTAGCACAGGATGAACTTTCCCCACCATTCTCTGCAATGTCGGCTGTCATTTTGTTGTGGCACAAGCAGCGGGAGCCTCAAACAGATCTAGCAAGCGTGGCGCACCCTCGCACCAAGTGGACTACCTAAGAAGTGTCATGTTTCCACCTGCAGTTCCATGAATATGCCGGCTGCAATGCTCCTTTTGGTTAGTCAGATTCTCGTAAGGTTTGAGCCAACTTAGCGGCCCTAGCCCACGGCAGTAAGTAGATGCAAAATGATGCAAACATCGTTTTCTCAAACGCCAAGGGAAGGTGACAAGCCGCAATCAAGCCGCACTGCAGAGTCAAGAAGCTGCGCCAACCGAGGGCTGCATTTGCTTCAGAGTCCTTTTGATCATGCTTGTCGTCGCGTAAGCATTTTCCTTGGGGGTATGGTTCTCAGGTGTGCTCAACGCAGAGGCGCAAGATCTGCGTAAGGTCCTTCTCAAAAAGCCATGTTCGCGTAAGCTCACATGGTGGTTGCGTAAGGTTCAGCTAAGGGGAAAAAAGACGCTGGAACAGAAGGAAGTTATACAACAGAGGGGCCTCCCGGTGAAGCCTTGGGAGCTCAGGTGAAGGTGAAGCCTTGGGGCCTCCAGGCACCACTGGCCTAGTGGTCGCTCCCATTCGCACCATGGAACTGGACCGGGCCGACCGTTGGGGGCGGAGGCGAGATGATGGAATCGAAGTGGACAGCAGACTTTGTAGAGGAAATAAGTCTTGATCCAAGGCACCATGTTTTGACTTGAATTATGTAATCATTGTATATCATTGTAAACATCTATATAATCGAATAAAATATATTTGGACCAATGGGAGCCTCTCCCCCTCACCTTTATGGCGCACAGACTGTTCGTTGCATGGGCCATGCTTTGGAGAATGTAATGCATCAGGATTCTTCCAGACATGGAATTCGGCTTCTTAGCTTCTCGTCAGTAACATCCCAGCAACATAGCAGCATTTGGTAGCTCCACTGGCACCTTCGTCTACATGTACTCCACCTTGCTGGGCTAACTGCTGGGCTAGGTGCCCAGTGTCCCCTTTCTGCCGGAGTGATGGGTCACTCGCTGAAGCAGGACGGCCACACCAGCCGGAGCGAGGTGAGCCCCACCGGACGGATCGCGCGCACGGAGTACCAGGCAACGGTCGGGAAGCGCGAGGAGTCTCCCCGTTGGCTGAAAAGACTCCGTTGGGAAGCTGACTGCGCGGCTGAAGTTGATTCTGCAAAAGCCTGGATGTGTTCAGTTGTTGGGGAGTTTTTAGAAGTGTGCTTGGAATGCTCAGACCTGGCTCCCCCAGAGCTGGCTTCCTTTGGACCGCACTCGGAGCTGGCCAGTCTCACCAGGTTTTGAGGCGGTTTTCCTGCAGAGGTGCTCAGTGGGCTGAGGAGCCTTTGATTTGATGATATCGATTGAAGTACAGATTATAATGTATATAATATATATATAGTAGTTACTAGATGCCGTACTGACTGAGCATGAAACTTCAATGAGCATGAATGCATGTGTTCAAGAATGAGCTGCCATCAAATGTGCAGAGGAATCTCTTCAGTAGTGTTTCCTGCATGGGTTTCGGATTAGCTGCTGCTAGCTCTGACGAAATAGACATACAGGGGCAAGGCGAGCACTATATTTTTCTAGTTTACATTGTGAATCATACTTAACGCGTTGTACCGCGTTTTACTATACAAGCAGCATCATAAGACTGCTTGAGCCAGGAGGCCACCACCAGGATGGTTTGTTTGGCCCAAAGTCGATGGGATACCGGCTTCATACCACCCAAGAGCCTCTGCTGCGGCCTGGCGGCCAGCAGAAACAAACGACCGTGTCCGACTGGGTCGGCTGTTTCATGATTCTTCCGACCGGAATTGGTCCAGGACACGAGTGAAGTGATGCTGCTGGCTGCTCACCCCATCACTGGCCGCACTCATCAGATCAGAATCTGTGCTGCAGATGATCGCAGGTGTGCCAAGCTCATCCTTTGGCAAATGGTTTGTTGAGATTCCCGAACCTTTTAGGGGAGTTGATGCGTTGACGCCTTCATGCCTTCTCCATTCATCTCCTTTCCAAGCATTTTGATGGCTGATGAAATCCCAAGAGACCGGTAAGGAGGGACGAAATCGATATGACTTGGAGATAGACCTTGCTTTTGAGGCAGAAACTCCACACGTGAAAAACACATCCCAATAACACGATGATTATGTCAAGGTAGAACAGTTTGGTTATGTTGCATCACAGAGTTGTATTGGTGCACCTTTACATGGTGTCAACATGTGTACAATGTATATTATTCAATGGCCCGTTTGTGTGACGAAGGTCAAACCCAGGCTAGCCGCCCAGCCCAGGCTGTCTTGCCATCCCAGTCGCTATGTATAAACGCAAGTCTGAGTCTAAGTCTTTGATCAGATGCTGGAGCTTCCGAGCTGCACCACGTCCAGTTGATCTTAATACCCAGCTTGGTCGAAAAAACGAGCCGATCGTCCCCGACGATGACTCGACTCTCGACTCGATAGCCGACCGAGGAGTGCACTTCGCCTTTTTGGGCCGTCCACTGCTGGGAGATTTGACCTATGGCAGGCCTGGTTCGTCTCCCATCGGAACCACGAGCCCAACGGAACGTGAGTCACGACGGACCGGTCAAGACCCGTAAGCGGCGTGTGGCGTTTGGTGGCTAATTAGCACGACCCCAGCAAGCGAGGTGCAGCCACCGGGAATGCGGCGGGTATACTGTAAATGAACATCTATGGGCGGGGATGTCTACCATAGCTAGATGCCCATCGTGTGAACTGTGTCCCAAACGTCGTGTCAAGCCGCCACGGTTTTTGCATTGACCCACTGGGTAGGGTAGAAGGGATCTAGTGATCTACTCGTACGACCTGGCTGGGGCCAAGGCCATGTCCTGTTGGGAATCTAGAGGACAACCCGCCTCTGATGTTTCCAGGGCTGTCGGGACTACCCTCTCCCAGAACCATCAACATCCAGCACTCTGTCAACACTGGGAGATGAACCGAGTTTCCAACCTTTCTTTGGGTGTGTTTGATCCAATGTTGGCCACAATTAGCCAGCCCGCAGGAGAGACAGCTTGTCCGTTTGTCCGCGGCTTTTCCTCCATTGCCGACGCTTTAGTGGCGTGGCAACATCGGAAGAGTTTGCCGATGCCATGTGTTTCTAAACTTGCACGCATTCCAAATCATTCGACATGGGTTGGTATGTAGCTTTTTCACCAGCAACTCCCATCAACTCCCATCTTCTTCTGGTTTCAGAGGTGTTTTGGGGGTAGACTTTCGGATCCCGACCCGTGGTGGATCTCCAACCATGACATCCGTTTCGCAACACCGCTAGAGTGGGCGAAAGAGCATCAGCGAGCACCAGGATGCTGAAAAATGGTACTGCCAGGGCCTCCAGTTCTTATTTGTGTTGGGGGTGGTGGGGGGGGGTGAAGCCCTATTTGTCTGACTTGACTCAGTATGTGTGAGACGAAATGTGGTCGTGTGAACAAAATGGAGATCGCTTTCCGCCATAAGCTCTTGGAAAGACAGCCCAGGCTGTATTGGTCCCGACGGCACGCCCTTGGTCGCCGAAGCACCTTTGCCGCCAGAGCTGCAAAACGTGCTGGAAACTTTGTGAGAGGTCCATGCCCAACAGCTTGCTTTGCCAGCCAGGCAAGTGTTTGAATTTGCGTTGAGTATTTCTCTTGAAATACTTTTACAAACTGTATATGTATGTATATATAGTATATATAATTGGTTTTGCATGCAATTTCCCTGTTGTTTTGGGGAAAGGTTGCTTACATGCTGAATGAAACAGTCTAGCATTTTCTAGCCTTTTATCATGTTCTATCCCACAGCTAGGCACAAACAACAGCCCGACAAACGATGGACATTCACGTCCCCGCACAGCCCGACAAAGCGGGGTGCCGTGATCAGCACCGCGGCAGACCGGCAGACCAAGCTCATCTCCGCAGGGTTGCTGGAACTGCAGCTACTACAAGCGCTCTGCGAGAGATGTAAGGTGAGGGTGATGTTTCATTGCAATTGTGAGATGTCACACAGAAAAAGATGCAGTTTGATGGGTTTGGGGGTTTGTAGTAGCTTAGACTTGACCCCTGACAGTTGGTGGGTGATGTTCAAGCTTTTTAAGGTGCACAACCATCGTCCACGGTAAGCATTATGTAAAAAAATGCACGTTAAATGCATGTTCATGCATTGTCTATCAACACTCCATTCACAATGATCGTCGTTTTCTCGAGGTGGCCAACTTTTTGTACACTTCTCGATCGTGGTGGGAGATGCGAAATACTGGGGATAACTGGAAGATTGTAGCAGAACTGGAGACCTTTTCATCCGTAGTCTTCTGGAGGAGCTCCCAGACCCACCGGATGCCCTGCAAGGTTTGGAGAGCATCAATCAAGATGTTTCGGCGCACTCTCCGGCACTTCTTGGTCGACGGCGATGGCGCAGCGAACTCGGCGATGGCGAGCGCAGGAACGGGTCGAACGTGAAAGCGCCAGGATTGCAGCATCGAAAATAGGTCACTCAAGCAGCCGGCTGGCGTGCGTATTGATTGCTGGCGGGCCCATTGAAGAAGCCAGAGCCGAAAGCCCACGGGACAAGACCATTATTTGTTCTTCCTCTTGCACCAGGAAGGTCTTGACTATTACAAAAGGCTTGCAGCCTATTGTCCTACTGGTACCGCGAGGATCCGTGAGGGTGCTACGGTGCTACATGGTTGCCTTCCACCAAGTCGTTGCAACTCTACGACCACACCCTGTCCGCTCTCCTTTTTTCTGTTCCCTTATGATCTTAAAAATGGGACCCCAGTTTGGAAGAGCAAGATTTAGCATGATGACATGATAGCACATTGTAATTGGAGAAGTGGATTCATGTGCAATCATGTCCCAGGACACTGTGCTCAGCAACTAAGTTCCCTGAATGTTTGGCCCATATCAAATCTTTTCATGCCAGATGCACAGAGCTTTGCAGCAAGGTAGAAGGCGCAGTGGTTGATGAGCAGTTGCAGCACACAATGCACTTTACTTTTGTATGGCATGGGCAATAATATAGTTATATATTATATATAACCAATTGATACAGTATCTTTCGGCTAAAACCAGCTTGTGCTGTCAGATGCACAAGACTCAAGATCAGCAACTCCTGTTCAAACGACAGTGCGTCTGCCGCTGCCTGTGCCATGTGGTTTGGCTTTCGACTCGCTTTTCTTCTGTTGCTGCGTTGTATTCGATGGGTATCCGCTGTAGACATCACGTTGCACCATGGATTGAGCTTCAAAGAGCAGCAAAATTGATCTCCAATGATCCAATGGTACGATTGGGTCAATGATCAAATCTTCGCCCACTAAACAACCTCCTTGATCGGCACAATCTTCAGACGTCAGACCCTTTTCCAAAACATTGCAAAACCATCATCCACTGACAACCCTACCAGATCCTGGAGCTCCAGGAGGGTGTGTTTGTCTTTGGCAGTCTCCCTCCCCACCGGCTTAGGAGACCGGAAAGCACATGTAAAGAAACGCATCAGATCTTCAACGAATCCAATCGCACCACGCGCCGCTACCTCGCGCCGCCTCGCGCCACGTGGTGTTTTGCGATCGTCGTGGACGTCTAACGACGATTCGAGTGACGAGTCACGCGGTTCGGGCGGGGGGGCGAGGCACAGCTCGGGGTGAGCCAAGTGCCTGGGTCCAAGGTATGTGCGTTCCCAAGGTCTTGTTCATCAGAAACATGGCTGCAATTGGCTGCAATCTGAGAAAAAACACGGGAGCAACAGGCCTCTCAAGGTGGATTTTGTCAAGTTGTCCAAGCATGAGTAATCATGAGTCAGTCTGTGCAGTGCTGATTTGTTTAGCCGAGGCTGACAGGCTCACGCTTATAGGGCTTTATTGGGCTTACTGTGTGTGTGTGTCCATCTTTCATCACCGGCATCGGTTCCACACGCTTGACCTGGAAATCTGTTGGAAATTCATGGTGATCGAGTCTAATGTAGACTCTTGATTAATAACCCCACCCCGTTTGAATTGAAGAATCTCTTCATATGGGGGGTGTATGTTCCTCAAGAGTCTACATGTCTACGTTAGTCAAAACGAAGTCGTCTTTCTACCGAGGACTGGTGCGTTGAACGAAGTTCTGGCCGCCGTGGTGGACGCTGGTTGGTCCCACACGACGGTCGTGAGCATGAAAGAGGCCGAGGAGGACCGGTGGAAATTCCGTGGTCCATTGAGACTGAAGGTGTTTCGGCAGAACTGAGGAGAAAACCATCAGTGGTCCATAGATTTTTCCCCAAACAGTTTACTGTTGGGGTTCTATCTTAGAAAAATAGAGCTGGCCACACTCACTGGCCGCGCCCCTGAACTCTGTGGCTGGGCTCTGTGGCATGGCTTTGTGTCCGGGTCTTGTCCTTGTCTTGGCCGCGCCCCTGAACTCTGTGGCCCGGCTCTGTGTCCGGGCGTGCAGTTCCCAAACAGCTGGAGGCTTTGGAAAAGTATACTTGCATTTGTTTCCACCAACATTGGAACTTTCGGAGTTGACGCCGACGCCGAAAAAAATGCTGACGCTGTTTGGGGTCTATGCTGGTATCATTATTCATAGATGTATATTCATATAGTTTGGACCAGAAAGCCGAATCGGCAGAACCACTCAGTTCATAGATTCGGCTTGGGTCGTCCATTAATTTTGTTTCGCAGACGACTTGGATGTTCCACGCCCCACGAGACGCTCCAGCAACAACCGTCGATCCACTTCACACAACGGAATTGGTGCAAAAGCAAGCCGCTGTGTGCATTCCGGAGATTCTGTTGCAGAGTAGCACCGAACATGGGTCGTTGTAACCATGACACACCATTCCTATCGAACACCTGCCGTTGGGCCACTTGTGGGAGGTTTCCACGAAAAAGAAAAGCGAAAGTCGGCGGTTTCAAATAAGAACATGAGCGGTCACTTGCGCCAAGTGCTGATCTGCCAGCCAGTTCACGTTAGACTTCTGATGGATTTGGCATATGGCCATTGCCACTTGCAGGAGTTGAAACATAGCGGCTTGTGGAGTTATTTTCCCTGGATCTGGCAAACAGAGAAGAAGCGCTTTGGCAAGCGCTCTGCTGGTGAACGCTGGGTGGTTTTTCTGGAGGCCTTCGGCGTCACGGGTTGGGGCGGCCATTGTGCGAAATGGCCGCTGATGTTGATGCAAACCTCGCTCCCCCATGGACCACATGGACCTGCCCAGCAAACCTGCAAGCGACAGTGTGTTAGAAGATGTCAGCTATCGACGCAATAGTGTTTCCATGACAGTTGTTGTTTTCTTTCCTCTCAATTGATGCAGCATGCTTCCCATGTCATACCACCATTGTGCTCTCGGTTTGATCATGTTTGATCCAATGTTTCTGAAACAATCTGAAACAGTTTTTGTTTTCTTTCATCTATCGCGCCGAAGCCGATTCTCGATGATTCTCGTCTATTTGGGGAGTGTTTTCTCACCTCTGAATCGTGTTGGGCCGTTTCGTGGCCAGCCCAACCATTGCAGGCCGCCACCATGGTAGATCCCAAAGCTTTGGAACTACTACTGGCCCAGTATGACGCCAGAGAACCGTGGCGCCTCGGACCTTTTGTTTTGCTGACATCAACTGACATACACCTTGGTTCCATCTCTGGCCCAAGCAACCGGTATGGATCTTGGGGGAATGTGATGGAATGATCTGGAATGTGTATGACCCGTTCGCTTGTTCATGTTAAACACATGCGACTTGACGAATCGAAGGGACCGGCAGCGGAACGAACTGCCACGTTCCGTATTGATCAGTTGGGCGCCCGTACGGAGCCGTCTACATGTCCCTTATGTGCAAACTATCGGTGTTGGTAGGAGATGATATATATATACACATTTATAAGTTACATAAGTATATATATATATAGCTGTCCCTTTGCCTATCTTCAAGTAGTAACTACGGACCTGGCAGACTGCGTTTCACGGCACTGGCTTGGCCTTCCAGGTATCTTGGTCGTTCTCTTCAAGATGATCAGATGTCAATTATTCATCATTATCAACAAGAACCAGCTTACCCTCTAGTCCATGCAGGCTTCGCCCCTTGGTCAAACTGTGAGGAGGTCGGCTTATCAGAGACTATGCCAAAAAACAACGCAGCTATGCATGTGAGCAAACTCGATAAACAAGACGGCCCTGTGATCAAACTCACGGCCGATGAATTAGGCCTGCCCCATAAGATACCATAAGCGTCTGCCAGTACTTGCCACTGCCACCATGGTCATCACAGTAATCACCACCATCCTCAAGAACTCACCTCATGAGGGCTTGGACAAGGTCCCCTGCTGAAGGAATTTAGAAGTGCCTGTGGCGGGATATTCTCGATTCGTTTGTGAATGAGCCCAACCAACATATTGCTATTACCCTGAGAACGAATGTTTGTGGGGATGATTTGAACAAGCCCCATATAGCCACATTGGTTGGAATTTGCCGTGTCAGAATCTAGGATTACTATCGATTCCTATTCCTTGAGACACATCACAGCCACGAACAGGTCCAAAGGACACTTCATTCTGTTCAGGCTATTTTGGACACCCCCAACCGCAATGCATGTGTGTCTTCCAAGTGATGTCCACACATATGTCATCCAATCCGAGGCTTTAAGCGGTGGGCTCTTGAAAAAGCTTCTCAAGGACTTGGAGGAGAAGCCGGTGGGAAGCGGACAGCAGATCGAACCTGTTTGGGAGCTGGCCAGCCGACTGGGTCTCTTGACGCAGACGGGCCCTGAGACGGAGATAGACCGAGATCCGTGGGAGTGCGTGAGGAATGTGTGATCGAATATTGGTGAGGATTCGGGGGTCATGATGTTGGCAGCTGTGGTGGCCCAGAGCCAGCTGTAGAATATGTAGAATCTTGCTTGGTGCAGGATTTGGTTGTGAAATTTGTGAGAACGCTTGCCACCGTGTGCGAACCGAGCAGGGCTTTCCTTCAAAGATGGCTTGGAAAGCTGCCTTGTTCGCCGAAATCCGGGCATGATAATTTCATCCCCATTCCCTACAGAGTTGATGGGTTGTCATGCGTTGCCTACAACCAGGCTCAATCGTTCACTCCTGAAATCTAGGAAGTGGAAAATTGCCCTTTTCCGGATCGATCCCGCTTTGTTGATCCCCCTTGGATAGGTATCAGGTAGGTAACCGAAAATAACACTATGACACTATGAGAATGGCATATCTACATCATCACACCGAAAAGGTTTTGAAGCCAAGTGTGAAAAAGGACAAGTGAGAGAAGAAGCAAGATCCATTGTAGATCCACCCTTCACAATATAGATGTTGATTTGTTTCCGGCCATCCGGCCACGGTCACGCCCATCCGACCACGGCCATCCGGCCCCGGCCACGGCCACGGCCACGCATGAAAAGAATCCACCCTCTTGTGGATAAGCCGAAATAGGATGAAATAAGTAAGTGAGATCCTACCCAGGCAAGACTAAATGAACTGCTACCAGACGCCCTATATGGGAAGCTTACAAAGAGAAAGTCTGTACACCTCAGCGTCGCGCGGCAACTGGGTCGTATGCAGCGAAGGAAAAAGACGAGAAGGCTGGATCATCAACTCACTCGCCACTGCGTGTTTTCGCTATGATGAAATATCAAAATGACGGCTCAGGCCGGCAAGCAGCATACCACATACCGCACTCTTTGCAAGTGCTTGGGTCCGTCACGGTCCATCCATGATAATTTAATCTAAGTGAAGTGAAGTCAATTGGCATTTTTATGGTTTGCGGGAAGACAAAAACATAGTTTCTATGGGTTGCAGCAAGACAAAAAATTGCAATTGTTAATTTTCTATGGTTCGCGGCTACACAAAAACTTAACTTTCTGCCTTCTAGCAAAAAAATAGAAAATACTTGTTATGCATTCCCTATAGTCACAGAAAGTTTGATTGAACAAAAAAAATCATGGTTTGCTGAAAGACAAAAGTTGGGCAGACAGAAAACTTCATACTTAATTTCTATGCTTCCACCGAAGGACAGAAAATGAATTTTCTATGGTTCCCGTGAATGCAAAATGTTAGTTTTCTTACTTTCTATTCAATTCTCCAAAATCTACAGCCACGGACCTAAATGCCCATCATAACATCAGAGTCTTCAAAAAGATCGCCATCAAGCACGACTTTCAGGAAGCGCAATTCTCGCTAAAACCACAAATTACCAAAATTGAGAACCTCCGTACACCCTTTGAGAGTCGAGTGGGTCGATTTCCAAATTGAAAAATTCGACAAAGCAAAAAGGAATTCCAATAAACATTATACTATCCCAAGAACTCCCAAACATAGAAGAATGTCTCGTCTTCCCACTCTGCTAAATGAGGTGCTTCCTCGAAAAACATGCCTCACTCATGTCTTCTGGAAGCTTGGCGCGTGTAACCCGTAAATGAGCCGAACACATTCCAAGGGTGGTCTTTGCTATGATCATCTCATGGCTGGGGTATATCGACGTGGATAATGTCATGGCTCTCCAGCAAACGGTCACGACACAAGGAGTGGTTCACTGAAACATGGCGATCTACACCGATGGAAAATGGCATGACCCAGTTCGCGCCCCCTCCCCAGAGGGGACGACAGGCATGCCCCGTGACAGCCTGAGACACAATATTTTCCTGTACAAACAGGTTTCCACGTCCATGTTGCAGTCACCCCAAAAGTAGATTCGGAATGTACCTACGGTTTCTTTCTAGCAGGGGGTTGGGGTCTCCGTTTTCTTCCTTCACACTTTCTTGGAGCCACATCACATGACCCACATTAAGCCACATGACTCACTTTCATGTATCTCGCAGAGGCAAGATGGGCATCTTCATTACGCACCATGAGGGGTTTTGCCGCGAACCACGCCCGCACTGTGCAACGTGGGTGCGTCCGCTGGACCGTTTTCGGGCCACCCAGGGACTGAGACCTGAAGAGGTCGCTGCTCGGTGCGCATGATTCAATAAGCCACTATAAGCAGAGTTGTAGAAAATCCAGGGGAGATGGGGTGAAACAAGAGGAAACCACTTCAAGTCGGAAACCTTCTTTTCCACGCGTGCGCTGACTAGACGAGCCGTATTCCCCACGCATGCAAGTGACTCGGTCAAGAACCTTTGTGCAATTCAGTTCAAGGCACCTATTGATTGATGTGTTTATAGGTCAAAACCTGCAAGTCCTGCAAAACCACAAAAATCACAAACATATATTATATGTATTGCCACGGATGTCGACCCAAGCTTGGGTTTGTAGGTTTGGGCCCCAAGATGCCCCAAACAATCAACCATTTGGTCTTGTGGTGTCCAGTCAACCGAGATGCTGGTTTGTAACGCATACATGCGTATACACGCGTATACCGTATACCCTTTATTTACCCAACGTAGAACCCTGGATGCAAGGCCAGAGCTGGCCTGCGTTTTTTACATAGAACAGCCACTGTTTTTGGCTTGGCAGTGGGCAGTTGGCTAGCTATATAATGCTATATGTAGTGTGACCGGGCGCAGAGATTGCCTAAGGCATCATGAGTTTGTGATGTTACAGTTGCGGTAGAACTTAAACTTTAGGTATAGAGAATGTGTCCAACTATAAATTAAATCTATAAAACAAAACAACTATATATACTTGTGAGTCAGGCGTTTTTTGCACCATGTGGAGAGAGAGAGAGAGAGATGAAAGGACAAAGAAAGAGCGTGTCAAGGAGGGGGGCTTGTTTGAGACCAGCTTAGAGAGGATTGGCATCAGTGGACACTGTTGACGATATATTTTGCTCACCCTGTGTCACGAGGTTATCGCTGTTAAGACGGTTGACAAGTTCCACCCAATCCGTTTGCCGCTGTTGAAAGAGTTCTGGGCCGATGAAAGCATTGTGCAGGTGCTCTACATGAGTAACACTGGTTCCTCAGCTGGAGAGACTGAATGTGCGGATCAACTGGCGACAGCATGAAGGGGCATGGAACGATAAGTTTAAATGTTTGATTCACCTATCTTGCGATTTTGAGGTTGCTCAGACAAGAAAAATGGCCTCCGTACTTCCATAAATCGTTCACGTAAGGACGGTTCCTTTTTGCTGGTAAAGCTTCTGCGTCCCGTACGCTTGGTGAAACGGTTACAGGCGGTTTTTTCGAGCTCAACGTCACCGACCCGGAGCAATGGTTCATGACTTTCAAGACGAGCCAGACGACACTGGGTGTTTGGCAGTCTTGAATAGTCAAGGGTGGAAGCTGTGGTCCTTGACTGTTTGGCCTAGTCGAGGGGAATGGCTCAGCTGAGGTGGTGATGAGGCCAAGATCATCGACCTGAGCGTCGACTTTGGCGACATGGTGGACCCCAAGAAAGAGTCCAACAAACAGGGGAGTGGCCATTGCACAAAGATGCAAGCAATACTCAGGTGCTTTGATTTGACAGATTTGACATGTGCCCTTTTTGATCCTTTTGTATGGCCACGCTTCCCCACCATTGACCACTGTCCGTGCATGATCAGGGTGGTACAGGATTTCTTTCATCATAGTCCAAGCCCCAGATTCTCACTTGAGGAAAGCAACCAAAGGCTGATCCTCGTTGGCTAACAAGGTGACCAAGGCACCGTCCCAGACCACCGATGACGGCTTGAGAGAGAGAGCGCCAGGTATTTGCACCGCTTCGAGCCTGACCGGCGGTGGTACGTGGTCACGGATGATGATACCTTGGTGAACGTCCCTCGCTTGCTGCGGGTCTTGGACTCTCATGATGACCGGGAGGCCATCTACTTGGGGGAGCGCTATGGGTGGTCTCACATGCAGGACGGTTCCTGGGATGTCGAAGGTTCCCGGGCATGGCAGCTGTGAGCATGCACTAGTTGACTGCTGATTGCTTTGAATTGTAGCAATGAAGCTTCCATAGCATCTTCAAGGCTCAAAGTCCCACCCTCCGTACACAGTTAGCTTGGTGAATGCCGTGTTTTGTTGTTCAAGATTGGAATTCTTGAGGAGACGCAGGTGCCGAGAAACGGAGCAAATGGCAAGTGTTCAATCAATCGGTAAGTATTTCCCTTCATGCTGTATTTTGATTTCTTTGTGTAGCTACCCTTTCCTTTTTCACAAGTTTGCTAGAATAGGTTTGTCCCATCTCTCATGTGTTTTTTCGTGCGTTTCTTGTTCCAAGCCTCGCCCAGGAGAAAACGATATAACGTAGTCAATTTTACTGTTTATATGCTTGCTGTTATTTAGAATCTATTTAATATAACTATATATATATATGTTTTCATATATACGTACGTGTAATGTTTATCATGTTTATCAAGAACTGTCAATCTTTAACTGCTTGCTCGACTCTCAGTTATATAGGTTCCCTCCTTATTCATCTCTTCCTGGTGTCAAACTAATTTGCTCCTTTTTGATCTAGCTGTTCCCGTGTTTTGTCAGTCGTGGCCCTTTTCTTCACAAGTTCTTCCCATCACAGAGGGCTCTTTTCTTGGCCTAGTGGCAGTTCAATTTCTGCTTAGCTCGTTCAAACCCCCCTTCCTGTTCTCAGGTGTGTTTCTTTTGCTTCCCGGCTTGTTGTTCAGCTTCTGCAAGATTGAACGATGCAGAAGCTAAATGAGAAGGAGAAAGGCTATATTATATAAGTGTGAAAGTGAGAACCATTGAGAATATGATCTCCCCACCAGCGTTCTCCT